ATGTTTCAAAACAAATTCTACAAAAAAAAATTAAAAAAAAAAAAAAGCTTTACTTAATTTTCAATCACACATTTGTATTTTTATCTAAACAGGGCCAAATTGTTTACTTATAACACAATCAAGCCCAGCCAATAGAGTACAATGCCTAGTAGAGATCTCAAGTTCCTATTAATTAATCTATTTAGCGTTTATGTGCTATATATGTTGTATAAAAGAAAAACTATAAATACCTTTTCATTGAAAAGTGATACAGGCTTGGACCTTGAATCATTTGCTTCCACAAGTCCATGGCACAATCTAATGAACTTTGGCAAACACTGCAATTTCAAGAACTGTAGATGGGCAAACTCGAAATTCTCATCTGCTTCAGCTATATCATTAGTGGTCACTTGCCCTTCCTCATCAACAATCTCTAACATGTTAAAGCAACATGTTACTCCAATTTCTTCAAGTTGAAGAAGTCGTCTAGCTATGGAGAACGGGAACAAACTCTCTAGCTGATGACAAAATTCAATGGTTATAGTTCTCAATCCTCTAAAAGATGTTTCTGCAAGATGGCCATGACAAATCTTCACCATACTATCCAAATTCTGAAGAAATAGTACTTCTAAGAAGGGAAATACATGGCAAGGAATCTCCCCCACTGAATTAATGATATGCTGAATCTCAGGAGCATTTTTAACGTAAAGACACTTCAGTTCCTGAAAATCTTCAACATCTAACTCAGGAACTATATTCTTCACATCCTTCAGTTTCTCAACATGTAGTTCTTCTGTTTTCCTTATCAACATGCAAATAGAATGGTCACGAGTAATTCTTGTATTCAACCCCAGCTTCAATATTTTTGAGCCTTTGAAAGAACCATCCCATCTGTTCCACACCTCTCCAATGAATATCTTGTATCGATTCAACCTTTCAGAGAATAAGTCTTCTGGAATAATTTGGACATCACATGCATGCACATCTAAGGCAACTAGGTTATGCAAATTCTTCAACTCAGCAAGGCTAGCATTTCTTTGGTTTCCAAGTCCGTTACCATCCCATTGATTGAAGCTGTTTTGCAGATACAGTTCTTCTAGCCTGGACAAACTCTCTAAGACATGGGGTCGTATCACTTTGAGCTTGGTACAATCATTCAAATCTAAAAACTTTAGTTGGGTCAGATGTCCAATTTCCGTTGGCAACTCTTCAATATCAGTTCTTGAAAGGCTAAGGACTTCCAAACCACTCAGCTCTGCAACAATAGCTATTTCTTTTATAGCACTGTGATTGATATGTAATGTACGGAGGTTTTTCAGAAGGCAAATTGATGAAGGAATGGATGAGAAATACCTCGTGGTAAAATTCAAGACTCTGAGATTTGGCATTCTCCGAAAAAAATTGTCTGGAATTTTCATAGAAGGATTCTTGCTAGCTAAATGGAATAAGGTAAGTTGCCGACATTCCAGCTCATCAGGGAGCTCACTAATATTAGCATGTCGCATACTAATCCATTTGACATCTCCCATGGCCTCCCTATCTGACCACTTTTGGGGTACGTTGTCATCTATTAATGACAACACATGGTGGTCCTTTGAGGCAATGGCCACCGCGACATCAAAGACAATATCATGCAATTTAACGTGAGTCTCGCTATTCCCATCAAGCAGCAAAGAACAAGATTTTAGATTTCTAACCCGTGTTAGTAGTCTGTCTCGTGCTTCTCCTATTGTGCTGACATTCTGAAATAAGCCCAAGCCAATACCATATGTTAGCAAGTCTTCTATATAAGCATTCTGTCCGAACAGACTACAAAGCAAGAAAGTTTGCTTTAGTTCTTCTCCTTCTAAATACTTGTAACTCAATTCAATTGCAGAATAAACATTGGCAGAGATCCCCATGAAGTTCTCTGGAGAGGGCTTTTTCAGTTGTAGCAGAGCATCCCTCCATTCATAAGATTCCTTTCCTCTCAAAGCCTTGCCAAGAGATTGAATGGCTAGTGGTAGCCCAGCACATTCTTTGGCAATCTCCTCTGCTGTAAGCTGCAAGCCAGAAGTTTCAATTTCATCACCAACTATCTTCTTCAAAAGCTCCCGTGCTTCTTCATCTTGCAATGGGCGAACATCAAAATTTTGATTAGTATCCATGTCACGTGATAAGACATCAAGAAATCTAGATGTGTAGAGAATCTTGCATTGCATCTGTCCTTCACCAACTGAACTTGCCTCATTCTTCATCTCTTCAAAAGGAATTCCAAGTTCATCCAAATCTAGCCTCGACCAAATGTCATCTAAAATCACAAGAATCCTCTTCTTTTTCTTCAGATAATCCTTTAGTTGCCTTGCTCTCCCAACTTCAGTCTCCTTATTAAGCTGTAGATCTAAGTTGTCAGCAATTTCTCCTTGAATTCTTCTAAAGTCTCGATCCCTTGTCACAGAAGCGAATACAACTAAATCAAATAAGTGGGCTTCCTCAGCTCGTCTGGCAA